GGGTTTATCTTACTTCCTGAAGCTTCAGCATTTGCTTCTTCCATTGGCATATTATTTCTCTTGTTGTTACTTTTCTTGTCTGGTTTTGCCTTTTTCATTGTTAGGTTAAATTTAACTTCGCCAATAACGTTTGGCTTCAGGACTGGGTTGTCCTTACTTTTTTTGTCCCTGGTATTTGAGCTAACGCTCATATTATTGAGTGTGTCCGTTTATTATTAAAAGACAAATGAATGAAATTTTGATAAAATAAAATAAAAATAAAATTTAAAAACTATTTTCGATAAAAAAAATTTTTACTATGGTTTTGTTGCAAAATTATTTGTTTCGGAAAGAGTTTTTTTTTTTTTGTTTACTTTAAGAAGAGATAGAAAAGGTAAGTAAATATATTTATTAAAAAAATAATAAAAAAAAAGAAATAAAAAATCTACTTATGTTATTTCACAAATTCAAGAGTACAATTCTGAAAAAAAGTAAGTTAAAAAGAGATAGAAAGGTAAATTAAGGAGAGGTAAAAGGATAAATTAAAAGGTAGAAAGATAAGTGAATTATTTTATTAAAAAAATAATAATAAAGAATGAAAAAGTTTATTTACACTGTTTCGCAATCGCCTACACCATTTCATGATCATCTGTATAATTCCTAAGTTTTGTTTTTTTTAAAAAAAATCTATAAAACTATAATTTTGAAGTTTTACAACTATTTCGTCTCCTGTCAAAATGTTAATTTTAACTGAAATTATACTAAATTTTGTTTCCTATGATAATTTCAAGGTTACACTATTATTTTGTCTCCTGCTAAAATATTAATTTTAATTAGGGTTTTACTAAATTTAATCTCCTATAATAATTTTAATCCTTATAAATATTTTCATCTTTTATAATAATTTCAGGATTAATTTTAAATTTTGGAATTCAATTTCAGGGATATTTTAAATTAACTAGGATCGAGTTTTAGACTTTTAATTTTGGGGACATGTATAATTGCAACTCTTATATTAAGTCTATCTTTATTTTCATATGTTTTGAAAACTCTCCATCTCTCTCATAATTCTTTAAGGTCATTAACTATTGGTAATAGATAATACACTGGTCAAAAATTGATAAATCATACACACATCAGATATCCAATATATGCATAGTATGTCCTTAATATCAAACATATATTGGATATTCAATAGGTGTAGAAAATATTTTATATATATATCAGGTACTTGATAAGTGTAAAAAAATATTTTCTACACCTATCGGATACCCGATGTATATATGATTTATCAATTTTTAACCAGTGATAATTAATTTGATTCTTATTGATTTCCTTAGGTCTTAGGAGAAAGTCCAAATAAATTATATTTTCAGGCTTATTTCTTTCGGCCTTAGGGAGATTATATATTGAAACATAAATAATACCAATACTATGTTGTGTATATTTAAAGGGTTGAAATTAGTCTAAATTTATTAATAATCCTAAATTCATAATAGCAGTTTCTGAATTAAAAAATTTACTACCATTGAAAGGAAATATATTCCATACTTTTTTATTATATATATTAGCATAAATATTATTATCATAATTTCTTGTACCTAATTGATTTAGCATTTTTTCAAAACCAAATCTCTGATACATGATATTTAATTATTATTTAATTGAGAATTTAAGATATAGCATTCGAGGAATAGCTACTATTTTTTTCATATTTCTTTTAAAAAAAAAGAGTTCATTATTACATAAATTCTTATAAGAAGGTACAGGATTATTAAGATATTCTTCATAATTACAATACATAATTGTCAACTTATTATTTTCTTTATAATTATATACAATCTTAAAATCATATAATTTATAACAGTTTGTACAAATTGTCATCCTTAATTTTGGTTAAAAAATTTCTAACTTCTTTTTTGTTATAAATAAAGAAGCAGAAAATTTATAAAATCTAGAATCATCGATCATTATAAGTATATTGTTTAAAAACTTAATTAAAACCTTCAGAACTATATCAAGTATCTGGTACCTTTGTTGAAACTTAAATAACTACTTTATATCTAATTTATCTTTTAATTCTGCTCCTTTATAGCCTTCACTATCCTTTTTTAACTCAGGTACAGCAAATAAGTTATTATCATCCTCAATCTGTGTTTATATACTCTACTTGATCATTATTATCTTCTTCTTGGTCATTAATCAATTCATTATCATCACGTTATTCTTTTAAGTCATCAATTAATTTATAATTTTCTTCATCTCCTATATTAACAAAAGTTTATCATTATTTTCTTCATCTCCTATATCAAACAAAAGTTTATCATCATATATATTGGATATCTCTTCTATATTAAGTTCACGAAATTGATCATTTCTTGATTGAGATAATGATACAATTCTGAAACCTAATTTTATAAGTATGTCACTTACAGATATGTCACTATTCAACTTTAGAACGTTAATTGTATTAAAGCTTCCTGTAGGTCAAGCCTGGTCAAGCTCAAAAAACTTGAGCTTAGGTTGAACCTAAGTTTAAAAATTGTACTTAGGCTAAGTCAAGCCTATATAATTTGAACTTGGCTTGACTTTTGAGCTTTCAAGCCTTAATATGTATTCTTGAGCCTTTACATGAGCTCTTGAGTTTTAACATGGGCTTTCAAGCCTTAATATAGACTTTCGAGCTTTAATATGAATTCTCAAGTCTTAATATGAACTCTCGAGCTTTAATATGAACTCTCAAGCTTTAATATAGGTTCTCAAGTCTTAATATAAGCTCTCAAATCTTAATATGAGCTCTCAAGTCTTAATATAAACTTATCTTGATATAGTTTAAATATGAACTCATAAACATTGATGAAAACTCTTGAATTTTAATATAAACTTATAAGTTTTAATATAAATTTAATTTTTTTGATTTTATAAATAATTTTTTAATTTTTATTTAGTTCTTTATTTAATTAAATATATTAAAATTTGTAAATTTTTATTATCATTTTTGAAAATTAATGAAAATATATAAAATTTATATAATAAATGTATTATATTTAATGTTATATAGAATATAATAATAAAAAAATCATCATATTTAATTTTTTGTATTTTTTTATATTTGAAAAAAAAATTAAAATTAATTTTTTAAATTTTCTATATTAATTTCTCCAAGATCAGATTTTAATCAACTTTTGAGACACATTGTTTTATGAATTGTTTCTCCTTTTAAACTATATCTTTGAACAACCAAATCTGTTCCTCCAGAAAAAATTCTTTCTATAGGTGCACTAGTAGCAGGAATAACTAAATAATTTTTAACTATTTTATTAAGATAAGGAAATTATATTTCATAATTCTGAAAAAATATAATGTAAAATTAATAAAAAATAATATATTGTATAAATTTAATTAATAATTAATTTAATAAACATACCTTCTACCATGATAATACATCTGTTGTAAAAGATATAATTCCTTCCTTTAAAAATTTTTTTAATTTATCACTTGATTCTATTTTTTATTTTTTGAAAGCATAAGCAAGAAGTTCATCTGCTTTATTTGGTTTAACTATAATTTCATTATTGTTTTTATAATAATTTTCTCAAATATTGGTTACAGTTCTTTCTACAACATTAATATAAAATTGCTCTCATTCCTTATTATAATAATATTGTAATTTTAATCTAGAATCTAGAACTTTAATTAAATAACAAAATATTAATAATAAGTAAATAATAAGTAATTAATAAAATTAAAAATGTAAATGTATAAATAAAATATATTTACCTGTAGTAACTATATACACATTACCATCAGTAATAAAATAATATGATTTAATTTTTTTTTCTGCAAATTTTATTACTCTTTTAATTGTAAGATTTGAATTGTTATTAATTTCTTTTTCTAATCTATTCAATATATAATTATAAACAGGTATAGAAAAAGATAAAGTAGGATATTTTTGATCAGTAATATAATCAGAAGCTTGTTTGAAAGGTTACATAGAAAATAAAATAATATTAATATCTAAGTTATATATTAAAAAATGTTTCAATAAATTAAATAAATTATATATCATTAATAATTTATATATTTCTTTAATGAAATTCTATTCATCATTAGAAATAATGTATTTTTTAAGATCTTTATCAAAAGAAAAAATATTATGAAATGCCTATTACATTATTAGAGTTTTTTTATAGTATTTTGTTAGTAGGAAGTCTTATCAATAAGAATTTAGACCAAAATCAAAACTATAAATAATTATTGATATTGTAATATATAATTTAAAAAAATAAGATTTTAATATTTATTTATATTACATATTAATAAATTTAAAAATATATATATTTGTTATAGTTTTAATGTCTTCTCTATCATGATCTCAGTGGAATTCCATTTTGTTTTAATATCTGATATCAATTCTAATATTGGTAAATTTGTTATGGAATATTGTTGATGAAATTTTTCTTTTTATTGTAGTGATGATTTAATTTTAATTACTAGTTTTCTTAACTAAAATTTTAATAAAATATACAGATTATTATAAAATAATATTTAAAATAAATTGAAGGCAAGTTTACTTATCAGGCAGTAGGTTGCAGGCCCGTCTCTCATGAGTTAGTCCGAGTCTCATCTTTTCTAATAAACATTAGAATAAGTTATATATTTTGTATTATATAATCTTATATAATGTAAAAAATTTTCTCTTTTTCTAATTAATAAATTTGAGGTAAGACCTCACTGGAACAAAAAAAAAAAAATTATTTTAAATAAATTACATAATAATTATTTTAAAATTACCTTATATATTGTATTTTTTAATTTTTTACTATTTTCATCTGTTTCCTCCTCAAGAATATTTTTATCAATATTTAATCCTGATGCATTGAGATCTTCAAGTGTTTTTTTTACTACAAGGTTAATAACATGAGTCAGGTATCTGACATATTGATGTTGAGGATCAAAAGTTATATTATAATTATTTAAAAAATAAAAAATTCTAGATAACATGGTATCTATATTAGATGCATTGTCACAGCGGTAGGTTGTGAACCCGTCTCTCATGAGTTAGTTCGAGTCTCATCTTTTCTAACAAACATTAGAATAAGTTGTGTATTTTATATTATGTAATCTTATATAATGTAAAAAACTTTCTCTTTTTCTAATTAATAAATTTGAAGCAAGACCTGAACAAAAAAAAAAATATTAGATGCAT